CTTGTCCGAGAAGGTTAAGTGTAGATCTTTCCTACCAGGAGATCAGGGGTGTGGATGAAAGACAGCAGTAAGAAGAAGCGAAGGAGTAGCAGTAGAAAGGCTGCAGAAAGAATCAGGAGCCCAGAGGAAGGGGCAAAGGAGGTGAGGGGGTGGGGGCAGAAAGAAGAGACGAAAGCAGACGACAAAACATTGCTAGAGAGCAGGAAATGAGGTGAAAGAAAACAAATTTAGAGAAGAAAATGTTTCGGTCTCTACCCGGATTCCAACCCGATGAGAGGCCAACACCTTAATCTCTAGGCCACGAGAGCCCCCTCCGACACGTTTTCGTTGCTATTAGTCTATAGCGAATTAAAAAATAATAGGGGATTTACAGCATACACCTAAAACTTTAAAAATTGACATTTTTTCCTTAAAACCACACTTAAACGAACGGTATGAGAGAGGGTGCGGTAAGTACTTTTTCCGAGAATCGACTGGAGACGCCAAGACAGTCGTAAGATGAAATCAATAAGATTACATTGAATCTTTTAATGTGGTAGCAGGGTGGTGTCGCTGTCTCAAAACGCACAAATTGTTGGCTTTGTTTTCTTTTTTACTGTAGATCAATTATTTTAGTGGCCCTGTGTATGTGTGTACTCAAAAAGCGGCTTTTAATATAGGACCCAAAAAGATAAACTTTTCTGTTATAACTGGATTAAGATATATATATATATATATTTGTTTGTTTAGTCACTGACGTGTGGAGGTGCCATACAAAGTATCGCGGGCATATTAATAAATGAGCTATATTTTTTAACGCTGAAAGACGAATGTGAGCAAGCGATAATAATTTACGGTCAAAAACTAATCGGTGTGAGTGAAAGAGAGACCACCACATGTGGTTTTTACGTCACGTTCAACCTACACAGCCTGTCCACAACAAGTGTCTTCTGCTTCTAGGTTTAGTAAAGGTTTAAAGGCACTTGCAACAAAATAAGGTCGTATAGATGCCGAAGACGAGAGGTGTTACATAACAGAGTAACAAACACAAAAAAGAAGGAGAGGTGGACGATAATTGTTTGATAGAAAAGAAGGAGCAAACCGAACCAGAGCACCAGCCAACCACCCACACAAGTGCCTTCGAAGCAATACATCAATGTGTCTACTAAGACGTTCAACGTACTTTTTTAAATGCAACTGCAATCCTCAAACTCACCCACCAACGCTCCCCC